GAAATGTAAGTTTTGGAGGACTCCTTTCATTTGCAATATAGCATAGCAAGAAATCTTTCAAGAGGTTGTTTCGGGAGGGTTGTTTGTTTATTTTTTCTATTTTCACTGTGGTAAAAAGATGGATCTCTTGAGAACCTTTGTCACATATTTCTCCTTGCATGAGAAACCCTGAAGCTTCTTCAACATGTTGTTTTTGATCCTTGGTGGAGTCACTGGATTTGTGTTGGCTTTGTCCTAAAACTGTGTGCTTGTAGGGGTTATTGACTAAACATTAGACTTGTCAATATAGCTGAGATCTTCTCTAAACTTCCCTCTGTAGAGCAGCCTTTGTTCCAAGTTTAAGAAATAACCTTTGTGAGTTAGGATCAAGACTCAATTTTGTCTCTGTTCTGCAGGTGGCTGCTTTGAATGAGCTTTTTACATAATTAGTCATGCTTTTACTTCATCACTGATATGGTTGCAGAAGTACAAAGCTTTTCAATACGTCTCAGTTTATAACAGATACCTTTATTGAGAGAGACTGTCTTACCCATTGACTCGTGAAGACCAGTAAAATAGCAATATCCTTCAAAAAGTCTCTTATTTAACTGTTGAGGTGGATATTTACCCTCAATACACTTTGATTCCGTGATGTTACAGAATTCCTCATGTGTGTTCTTTACAAGTTATTGTTAAAGCTGTTAATATGACTGCCTTTGCAATTTTAGAAGTGCTGGAATAAAACAGCAAAATGAAATGCTAAGAATTAGGTATACTGTTGGAGGTTTTCAAGCTGTGAGTGAACAAAGCTACAACCTGCCCAGTCTGATTTCAGTTTTGACCTTCTTTTGAGTAGGTGGTTGGACAAGATAACCTTTGCAATCCCTTTCAGCTTGGATTAGTCTATAACACTTTGCCATTAACACATAAGAATTGAATCAATTTCAGGGTACAGTCAGTCTCTAGTGCAGCTCAGGGCACTTCTGCTTAGGAACAGCAGATTTGGTAAGAACAAATAACTTTCTCTAGAAGATTTCCTTAACCAATCTAGGATACTAAGTGTAATACAGCATTCACATATGTGGAGCCATATGTATGCCATATATAAACCTTCTGACTGTTGCCAAATACAGTCTATACATAGGAACAATCGGTAATCTTACTGAAAATGCTATAACCTTTGTGACAGTATACTTACTTTGTAAGGTTTTATTGAAACCTGTTATTTCTGTCAAGACAGAGGCTCCTATTTTGTTTGCACTCATGTTTTTGACTGATGTTTGGAAGAAAAAAGTCAGCTTTTTAAAGTTACTGTAAATTTGAAGGTAATAAAGCTGCCAGGTTTTGTGCAGGTCCATGTGACAATTTTGTATAAATTGCCTGAGTTGCATAGCTGCCCGTAACTTTCATATAATGATTTCCAGTGAATTAAAGGAAAAATATGGTTAGTTGATGGAAATGCATTAACTTGGCAAGTTTAGAAAATCAAAAGTCTCTTTATCTATAGATAGCAGCTGGACAAACTTCCTACAGACTCTTTGTTCTCAGCATGGCTCAGCCTTGGTGAAGGAAGACAAAGCATTACTTCTACAGTTAATGCAACTTGTTGATTCTTTACTGAGTTTTGCAATTAGTACAGAATGAGTGCTGAATTTGTTATGATACTATTATCACAACATACCCCATCAAATATCCTTCAGTTTGGAGTTTTAATCTAAATGAGTAAAGTGAAATTTTAGCTAGTGGTTCTGTAGTTTGGGAAATTCTGTATCTAATGAGCAATGTCTTAAAATATGCAGTTTTTGCTTAACCAAACCCCATGTCTTGATAATGTACATTGCATGGTTATTAAGTTTAATTTATCTGCGAGTCAACAGTTTTCAAATGGGGTCTCTAAAAGTTGCAATACAAAACTTGAGCAGTGTGTATTAGATTTTGCCCCATAAGGCACTCATTTGAAGGACCATGCAGCTAATCGTGTACTAGGTCATGCAGGTATTTCTGAGAGGGCAGTGAAAAGTGAGCATCAGGACTTATGGATTGTTTTCTAGTTCTTTGAAAGGGAAGATAGTCTGCCATTTAAATCAGTAGTTGCAAACAAAATAACCAAACTGTTTGCCTGTGGGGCTTTATTGTTTTTTCACCTATCTCAGTGAATCTAAGGGAGAAATTTAGCTCTTAATAGAAGCTCTAGTTCCAATTCAGTGAGGTGTAAGATTTGTACAGAATATGGCTATAGCTTGTGGAAATATTAATAATGGTTTGTGAAAAAGGTGAAGTACAACTTGTAGTCCTGGTGCTTGATCATGTTATAACTTTACAGACTACAAAGTATGTTTTAAGAGATGGGGGGTTTTGTTCCAGAATACAGTCTTTTTCATTTTAAGTTTTTAATCCATTTCAATTATTTGTGTCTTCTAGATAGAATAAGCAAGAACTTTGAAGCAAAATAGTTTGGTGGACAAGATTGTTCTTTTTACTTTTTTGCTGTCATTATGATCAGACATGCGAATATGATATCTCTTGAAAACAATGCACTACAGATAAGCTAACAGCTCAGTTTTTGGCAGCTGTTCCTGAGTGTTATTACAAAATATTCTTTTCTGTCTCTGAAAGCAGTGGTATCTTATGATATCACTGCATTGGGAAAATCTTATTTTTCAGGGAGATTCACAAAGCTTATCTTTTGTTTACTTTTCTAAAATCTGAATTAAGAGTACTAAATAAGAATAGTTTATGAGATTGTATTCTGCTCTTAACTTCATACTGCCCTTTTTATATTGTTCTAACGTGCTCATTTTTCTCAGTACAGAAATTTATCATTAATATCATTAACTTATCAATAAAATCATTAATCTAGGTAGACTGAACAATGTGTTGGCATGCTTCATGGGATTTTCCCAGATAGCAGAGTTGTATGCAATATACTGACAGACATGTTTACCTCGTAAATTGACATTTGCTATTATTTTATTTTTGTTGTTTTTGAAACAAGATTCCTCCTTGTCCATATCATTCTGAATTGCATTTCAAAATCTATCGTTGAATTCCAACTGTCTGTCTAGGTAACTTCATGGAGTTCTCTATTATTTCTTGCGGATAAGGACATCTTGATTCTAAACACCTACAAACTTGCATCAGTATTGATAAAACTGCACTAGTATTTTGTCTTTTGTAAAATAATACCACTAATTTAAAAATGCAGTTCTGCTTTAATTTACCATAGTTCTAAATATATTCTGTTTTTCTTTAAAGACAGTTTTTCTTTACCTTACAGTTCATATTTTAGAAAGTCCAAATGAATTTCCACCACAATAAACCAGATGATGTATTCCTTTGTCAAGTAATTACTCACAAGAAGAGAAGGACATATGTCTAGGGTTTGTAATTAGGTAAATGTGTAAAATAGGAACAACTCTTTTAAAGGTTATTATACTATATATAACTATCTTAAAGTACAAGCCTATCAATCATAGTGATATATAAATTAAACTGTCAAGGGATTCTCCTGTATCTTCCTGGATTTAAGTGTAAATAAAGTGAATTTAATGAACACTTTTACTAAAAAAGGAAATAAAAATCTCAGTGTTGTATTTATAATGTGCTAAGATAATTCCTGGTGTAATCGCATTGCTCCTGTTTGGTTACACCACCAATAACTTTGAACCATTAAATTAAAAGCAAGTATGTCTTTCCAAGAGCAATTTAAGTCATTAAAGTGTAACTGTAAGTCTTTCACATTTTCACTTTTGTCTGCCTAGAGGAACAGTTGATGTCAGTAGTCAATACCAGCCAAACTGCCTTACTTATTGACATGCATACAAGCATCCATATACAGACTTTTGTTCTGTGAAACAATTTGAAGTGTAGAGATCATGAACTGCCTTGTTGATTAATTATATGTGTTTTTTTGACCCTGTGACTTACAAGTTCCATCCGTAAAAATTTGACCTTAACAGGTGCTGCTGAAGTTGGGATGAAGAGAGGAGAAATTGTTTCTACACAGACACTTTACTATTTTAAATATAAATGAGAAAAAGATATGTGCCACTCATGATGCAGCAGATAGTCTATTCAACCCACAGGATATTTTCATTTTGTCTTGCTAGTCTTTTCCCCTGATGAGACGAGAAATTGGGATTGATACAGATAAGCAGAAATGTCCTTGCACTTGACCACAGCTGTACAGCACTTTCTAGGAAGGGAAGAGGAAATCAAGACAGAAGTTTACTCAAGGAATTGGTATGTGCTGTTGCTTGTTGTGAGAACGGCAAATGTAGGGAGTAGACAGTGGTTATCACTGTCTGTGAACATGCAGTGTTCACATGTGGCAGTGGCTAGCTATTTATTGTGGACTCTGAGTGGGTATATAAGGTGTCTGGGGTATTGTAGGTAAGTGTCCCTAGTAAAGAACGGAAAAGATTAAGGAAATATGAATGTGTTGGAGGTGTAATATTCAGAAGAGTAATACAGAGATTAAGTAACAAAGGAAGAAAGTTGCATTTGATCAATGTAATTCTGAAGAGTTTCTAAAGATAATTTGGGAAGACAGTGAAGGAAAGAAATAGCTATGCTCTTTCTAACAGATTAACAAAAAAAGCTCAAACTATGTGTCCATACATACTGTAAAGTGACATTCTTGGCAAGAGAATTGAGAGAAATACTCCAAAATAAATAAGAACAGAAATCTAATAAATGCATGACACCTACATAATGGGGAAGGGCCGTTGGCCCAAGGCGAGGTAAGCCGAACATATGATGTTTATGTTACTGTAGGATATTCTAAGTACTGAAATGTTCTGAATTTTTCTTACAGAGTTATCAGAATTGAACAGGAAAAGGGCTATAAACCTTAGCTCCTGTGGCTTCCTAAGGGTAATAAATACAGTTTTAGAAAGTCTTAATGAAAGCTCTGACTTTTAATGCACTTTCAAGGTTTTTTTTAAAGGGCTATGAGCTCAACAATTCTTGTTGAATGCTTGGACATATATACTTAACATGCTATGAGTGATTGCACTTACAGTGAAGAGCAGTTGAGTAATTGAAGGGGGATCTAAGAGGTCACTGTTGCACTTTCTCGATTGGGTACTTCAGCCTTGGTTTGATCCAAACCACTCAGGGTTCCAGGGAAGTGCAGAAGAATGATCCCAGGGGAAATTACCTGTTCAGAACAATGTTTACTTCATTTTAACACGTTAATTCCTGAACTGCGTGCATCAACATGATCTCATATGTAAGAAAAGTTGAATTAAAGACCACATTTTCCTGTATTTTCTCAATACCATACTGTCTCTAAAGGTGTATGTAAAAATAGTGTACTAAAGTATCCTTTTACTGTGGTAAATTGTAGATTGGGGTCATTTATGCTATTCACTTAGCTTTTCTTTAGAAGAAAAGTGAAGTCATAAGCTCTGGTAAAGGATAAAAATGCATTGTTTGGCAGAAGACACTAAATCTTGCAAGTTCCTCTACAAGGGAGCCTGGCTCTTTCACTGTTGTTTGAGCACCGTAGTGTTTAGGCAAAATACTGTGTATCCTTTTTTTGTTCTTCTGATATGCAGAATAGTCTGAAGGTTTCCAGGTTTCATTCAACTGGGCTTTTGCATACTGTCCCCACTTTCAAAATTTCAGTACAGTGTGCAAATGATAATGCACGTAATCCTACCTGAAGCAGAGGCACAGCAGATAGATATTATACCTTCTGTGGTATCATGGTGCATTATAGCACTGAGCAATAATGTGTAGATATAGTTCAGTACTGTTTAAAGGCTTAAGTTTTTCCCTTACATAAGTAATACTGTTTTAAAGGTTATATTTGAGTTGGCTTCTAGAATTTGTTTCAGCTTGTATCATCTGTTATTTGGGGATGTGGCAGGAGGGAAGTTATTTTATTTCATTAGGCATAGGACAAATGTTTGCTCTGTACTGATTAAGACTCATTTTCAGTAGGATGGGATGACCATGGTAGCAGTATATAGTGTAGCTGAATAGGCAGCTTAGAGGAAGGTGATTAAAGTATATGCTTATTTGTTTCTGAGGTTGTTACTTTAGATGGTAGCTGTCTCATGTGAGATGGTAGAAGCAAATTATTGTCTGAAGTTTCGCTGATCAGAGTTTTTGAATGTATTTGATAATTTTAATGGTTAATACACATCTTTAAGTTGATTGAATGTTGAATATTCAAAAGTAATTATTTGCAGTTTTATCGTGTAGCATGACAGTGCATCATGTAAAATTTTCCATTAAATATTTATTTGAAATGAAGCAGGTTTGTATTTGAAGTTTATTCATTTCAACAGTAAGCATCAGGACAGTACTTGGGCAACCAGGATGCATAACTGCTATTAATGTTCCTGAGAATTTGTAGTTTATTTCTTGAAGTTAACTATTTTACTTCTAAGAAACGAAATTTCCTTGAGGTGCACTGTATAACATAGCTAATAACAGAATGTGGAAAAGAATTTAGTCCAGTTTAAGAGTAAACATTTGAATCCATATTAGTTTACTGGAAGCTTGTTAAAATAAGAATGTGGTACTCCTGATTTATGTTGACAGCTGAAAATGGTGAATTCTTCAAACAGGTCTGTAATAAGTAATTGTGGATAGTGTCATAGTTGCCTAAGGTGATAGTGATTTTTTCTTAAAAATAAAGTGCAAAACTGATGTATGTGTGTAGCACTATTCTTGCTTTGTCTTGTGAATCATATCAGCTCCAAGTTATTTTGGGCACTGAATTTCACTAGGTTTGCTGGATTATAGCAAATCATTCAATTCACAGAGAAGAACAGAAAAGAAGTAAGTTTATTTTTATCTGGATGTAAGTGGATTTGGCCTTTGTTGTGTGGAAATTATAGTTCTGCATCAGTTTCCAGTAATATAGTTGCTACTTCATCCCCTTGCCCACACAACCAACCGTTTATCCACAACACCCATTTTAGTGTATTTATCTGATGAATAGAAAGAAAAGAGAATTTGCCTAAAACTTGCACAGAACCGGTGAGAATGCACAGAATATTTTTCTTCTTGTCAGCTGTTTGACAACTGGGAGTATGTTTGTGTAATTATGGCAGCTTTTAATCTCTTCAGTGATTTTATCATTCCTTCATGCTGTTCTTAACCAAATCTCTCAAACAGTGCTGAAAGAAGCTTGCTTATGAAGTTTGGTGGATTATTTTTCTTGGAAAGTCATTGTTCTAATTCTGATTTTGCTACTTTTATGATATTCTGGGTAGTCATTTTTTAGGCGTCAAACACAGGAGAATCCAAACTCTCACAATCACAGAATCGTGAAATCATTTAGGTTGGAAAGACTCTTGAGATCCTCAAGTCCAACTATTAACCAAACCCTGCCAAGACCACCACTAAACCATGTTCCTAGGCCCCACATCTATACCTCTTTTAAATACCTCCAGGGATTATAGAATCATAAAATGGCTTGGGTTGGAAGGGACTGTTTAGAACATGAAGTTCCAACCCTCCATCATGGGCATGGATACCACCTACTAGACCAGGTTGCTCAAAACCCTTTCCAGCCTGGCTTTGAACACTTCCAGGGATGGGACAACCACAGCTTCTCTGGGCAACCTCTTCCAGTGCCTCACTATCCTCTGGGTAAAGAATTTGTTCCTAACATGTAATATAAACCTTCCCTTCTTCAGTTTAAAACTTGTCCTATTGCTGTCTGCCCATGCAAAAAACCCAGTCTCCCTCTTTTCTATAAGCCCCCTTCAGGTACTGGAAGGCTGAAATAAGGTCCCCTTGGAGCCTCCTCTTTTCCAGGCTTAACAACCCCAGCTCTCTCAGCCTTTCCTCATAGGAGAGGTGCTTCAGCCCTCTGATCATCTTGGTGGCCCTTCTCTGGACCAGCTCCAACAGGTATATGTCGTTCTTATGCTGAGGGCTCCAGAGCTTCTTTGCAATGGATTTCTGAAATCAGTTTAAAACGTGCTACTTTGCTCTGCATCCTTTCTGTGAAAGTAACTTGTTGATTCTAAAACAAATTAGACAAGTGATAGTGATTTGTTCCTGATAGTGGCTTTGTGCAGTTGTTTTCACCAGGTTTTTCGATGTTGTACCAGTATGGACATTCACAGTGCATGCTTAAAAACCCCAAACCCTAATGTAGTTTTAGAAACACAGCAACTACGAGAGATTTGTTAATGTTTCTGCTCAAGATGTTGCAGCTTTTCACTTATAGGGGCCTTGTTTAAACATGAATAGTTTCCTTTCTTATTTATTTCAGGATTACATGTGGTTTAAACTATAAAAACCAAAGTCCTCCTTAAAGCCAGTATCTGATGGGGAGCTGTAAGGGTGTTTTGGCTTATGGGTATATGATGACTTACTGAAAGGTTTCTTGCTTTTTAAATTAGTTTACACTGAAGGGAGATGACTTTAATCTTTACAGCAGTGTAGATTAACTTGGAATTTCGCTGTTCTTGACATGAAGAATGTACTTATTGTTGGGACAGCAAAATTTAATCCTATGGCTTCAATACACTGTGGTTTGAAAGGAGAGATAGAGTAAAGAGAGAAAAGAGAGTGGAGCTGTCAGCAGGAATGTTGGGAGCCACCCTGGTGGGAACCTCTTTCTCAGCTCCTTTACTCCAGCTCTTCAGTGCTTTTTAAGCCTCTGCAGAAAATATCTTGTACAGAACTTTTCTGATTGGTGTCAATTCGTTTCTTGCTTGTTGAGTGCTCCTTCCTCCAGGAAGCAAATATTTCTGTTTGAGAACCAATGTCTATTCCAGCTGAACCCCCAGCTCTGGGAGAACTGCATATATAGAGGATTCAAAACAGGAGAGTCTTCCATAGCTGTTGGGTACTTGTGGCAAATGCCTATTTCACTTGTTTCTTAAGTTGACTCTGCAGTGAATTCTCTTTTTGACCCTAGAGCTTTTTAAGAGGTTAGGCTAGTAGCTTGACTGCTAGCCTATTTAATTTTTTCATGTCTATTTCCATTAAATGGCTTTCATGAAGGAAATTAATTTGATTAATTATTCCATATTACTTGATGTAAGACACTGTAGTTGGTTATGATGGAAATTCTTATGTACATAACCATTTCCAAGATGTTTCTCTGCAGAATTTATCTTTTCCTATTCTGCTCTACAATCATCAGCTTTTTCAGTTATCATCTATATCACTGCAACACTTGGACAGAGATATTGGGATTAAATTCTTAGTTCCACTCCCTACCTATTACCAGTTTTAGGAAGGAACTGGGTTTCCAGAATGGGAGGGAAAGCAGTGGAACTGGCATCAGTGTGACTGCTTGAGCCCTGTACGAGCTGGAGCTTCACTAGGTGCTTTTAATTACATACACTATTCATGAATTGCCTATACTTCAGGAAGATAGTAGCACCTGATCTAAAATGTTGATGGGGATCCAGGTAAATTTGTCTTTCTGGGTTTAATTGCAGTGGTTGGAGTTGTTTGTATGAATGATAGTTTAAATACAGAACAAATTGCTGTTGAGTTGCAATGGCTTAGCTGTCTATTTAAATGTCACAGGTAGCGGAGGACGATGATACCGAATCACGACAGGAAGAAGAGAAGGAAGAATTGAAATGCTATTCAAGAAGAAAGTTATTTTCCAACTGGAACCGCTATGAAGATACAGAAAAAGAGGAACAGAATGAACATGGGGAGTCACAGAGAGGAACGGACTTCAGTGTTTTGCTTAGCTCAGCAGGTAGGCATTTTCCGGTCTATAGGGTTTTTTTAGTTTTGCATTTTGAAACATTACTACTTTTCTGGCTGTTGTCCTTGATGATGAAACAGGACCCTAGAACACTATTCTTATCTGTCCAGTAAGTCTGCCATTTATGTATTTAGGAGTGTTCCAAGTCTTCATGGGAGCAGCCTTACAGCATCCAGGCTGCACTGAACTGTGACAGATGGGAAGTAAAAGGGGGCTCCTGGCTGCATTTGTAGCCTTCTTGTGAAAATATGGGTCTGAGTGTGTGCAGCATCCAGTAACATTGAGCTTATTTCTGCTGGCAATAAATTTTTTGCTGATCTTGGTCATTGAGTTGCTTTCCAGGAAACAAAAAAGGTTGCTGGTATGACTTAACACAGCAAACAGTCAGGCAGCTGCTTGCAGTTGTTTGTTTTGGCAGAGGTTTGTAATCAGCTCTGTACAGATGTGTGCGTGAATAGCAAGTGTTACTCTCCTTGGAAAGTAAAGATCAGTTGTTTTCCCCTCTTTAAAGGAGATAATAAACGAGGAGGTGGAGGGACAGGTTGTACTAGATCCTGGGATTTTTTAACTGTACATGAATAGTATAGACCGTTACACAAAAAACAATTACCTACAGTTATTTTAGAAACTAAGATGTGTCATTGTGTTGGAATACCATTCAGTAGAAAGCTGCAAACAATGTGTTATGGGGGGTTATATTAGCACCTTGGAAGCTCTGAAATCTCCAAATCTAAATAACTGGATTTTTCAGCCATAGCTTGGTGGGGTAAGTTAGAAGTTAGCTACAGTAAAGAAACAAAGACCAGAGCTTCCTTTCTGTGTTCAAGAATCAATTTCTGAAGTTCTGTTTCAATGAACGTTGTGAAGTTGGGCCTAATCTGTCAGTTTTTAATCATAGGATCATGAAATGTGTATTGACTTCTTGGAATGGTACGTTGCATGGTAAATTGTGTTGGGTCAAGATGCATGGTATGGACCTCAGAACTGTGTACGTAACCGAGGAAAGCAGATACTGCAATTCAAAACTGCTTAAATCAAGAGGCCTACCCTGAGCTGCATGTATCCATGGTTCAGCTTTCTAAAACAAACTTTAATAACTCTGTAGTTAGCCTTCAGAATGTCTTTAAAATTGTTCTGAAAAATAGTACTTTTGAACTGAGGCTGCAACAAAATAGTATTTAGCTCTACTAATTTGTATTTTTGGTGAGTTATACTTCAATACAGTTATTGCCAACCTATTTATTTTACTCTTTAGATTCTTTCAATGTCTCAGATTAAAATCTTGTTAGTATTCATATATTCATTCTATGTATTAATTCTAAATCTTTGATTGATAGAGGATATATTGTGACCGTTCTCTTACAATAAAATAAGTTGATAAGAAACAGCAATGAAATAAAGTACTTCCTTTCAGAGGAAGAAAAAAGTACCTTCTAAACAATAGTGCAGATTTCTTGCAGTCAAAAAGCAGTATATGTTGGCAAGGTTATTTTTTTTTGGCTTATGTATGAAAACTGAGAATACAGACATCTTTATTTATAGTGATCTGAGAAGAAGCTTGCACCTGTGCTTTATTTGATAATTGCTGCTATTAGTATATTTCTGTTTAGCGTTCTGAAGTTGCAAAATGGATCCAATTAATTGCAACAAGCAGTTAGGGAGTACTGGAGAGGGAATGGAGTTAAATTTCCTTTTTTCAATAATAGAGAAGCTTAGAAAAGTCTTAAAGTCTTGTGATTTACTATTGATACACAACAACGTAATTAATGCAGCCAACTAAGGATTCTTTGGCAAAAGCTCAGATTGAAAACCTGTTCTCCTATGTAACATTTAGGTTCCATAATATTGAATGCAGGATCTTGAAGGGAGTGTCATCCTTCAAGATAAAATTGGATTTATTCCCAGAAAATATCCTGTTAATTGAATGAGAAAGCATAGAAAAAAGAGTTTGGCATAATGTAATAAAGACAGAATATTAATTCTAGTAGATAAACTTAAATGGAGGAATTCCTGATGTCTAAGGAATTAAAATGCCCTGGTTGTTTGATATCCTGCAAATATTTGTTTAATATCCTGTAAAAGTGCTTCTAGGTGTAATTTCCTAGTTAAAAGCAACCTAAAAATAGCAAAATGAGGTACTCTGTGATATGGGTGTCAGGTTAATAATTAGTAGGATTAGAACTTTAAATTTAGTACATGAACATTACTGTTGCTGGAATTAAGAAAGGAACAAAGTTATGGCTTCTTACATGGTATTTTTATCAGTATTAGTGGAAAGTGGAATATTTTTTCTGAGGAGGAGAAAGAAGTTTGCAGATACTTGCAGACATGTTAAGTCTTTAGGGTGTTTTGTTTTACGTTTTTAAAAGCTTCTGAAGACAAACACTTTTTTTAGGTTTTTGCCTATACTTCCAGCTTTTCCCTGCCTCAAGCCAGTCTCTAGGGCAGCACTGATCCTGTCTTTTCAATCAAATGTTTAGACCTGACTAGTCCCAGACCGTCTCTTGATTGCATGCTGTCTCTCTGCTGCCAGCCCTTACCTGCCTACAAATTCTTCTCACTTTCCCTTGCTTCTGCTGTTTTTTCATCTTGTCTGATTCCTGTTGATGGGTCTTTTTTCAGTCATTTGTTGTGAGCCATCTCCTTTCCACATACTTTTATTAAAATCCAACTCAGTCAGATTCTATCTGTCCTTCATTCTTATCCCTCATTCTATCCAGTCCTGGTGATCCCCAGCTCTGCATTGTTCTGCTTGGCATTGCTCATTTTGGTTTAATCCACTACCCCATTTTACATTCCTCTTAGTTTCTTTCATTGCCTAGTCAATCCCACTTTATTCTTTCAAGAGTCCAGTTCTGGTCTCCACTGCAAGCTGTTTCTTCCATTTTTTCTCCACCCTAAATTCTCCTTAGTTACCCAACAATGTGAAGTGACAGGCCACTGTTTTCAGCTGTGTTAGGGATAACAGCATAGTTGAGGCTGCAGAAATGCCAATACTGTGTGTTCAATCCCTGGATGGGCCAACTCATCAAAGAGTTGGACTTGAAGATCCTTGTGGGTCCCTTCCAACTCAGAATATTCTGTGATTCTTTTACAGTGAAAATCTGACTTTTCACTCATAGCTAGAGGTTAGAGAAAACTTAATTCAGTTGCCTTGCACATTCAGATGACATACAGAAGGCCGCTGAGGGTGTTTGGTGGTTGGTTGTTAAGCTCCAGCAGATCTTGCAAAAAATATGTACAAACTTTGATTTCTAGAAGCTTGTACCTTGGCTAAGTCAGGTCATATTTTCACAAAAAGAGCGCAGTGTACCTCTTTCATAAAAAAGCATTGTCCAGTCTGACTTCAAGTTACTAGTTCAGGGCAGGAAAGTGGTTACAGCCTCTCAGGTTCTCTCACAGTAGAAAAATGTTCCAGCCACTCTCTGGGTTTCTTTAAAAGCTTAGGGGAGGGAAAAGGAAAAGCTACCTGAAGCAAACAGTAGACCTGGAAAATTTCATACTGGAAAAGTTCAAAAGGCAGCTGAAAATAGTTTTAAGTAAGAACTTCCAGGTGGCTTTGGTAACAGCTGATGTCACTAACATGATAGAACTTCTTTCTTAGGGCTTATTATATTTGTGTGTAAAGTAGGGTGATAAGTTTTTAAGTATGTTTCATTCCTTTTTTTAGCATTTTATAATTTATTTATTTTTAATTAACCTTGAATATAGCAATGCTTTTAATGTGTAGCTGATGTAGAATACAAGTCCATTGTGGAGCCTTCAGGGAATATGTCTTGAATCAATTTAGTAAAAATGCTGTTGAAGCGTAAAGAACAAGAGAAGTGGAAGTGATAGATAACCTTACTTTGCTAGCAGAATTCTGCCATGTTTGAAGAACTGCCCTCATTTTTTGACAGATGAGGGTTAAGTGACCTACAATACTTAACTTGTTTATTAGGTTTTTGTCTCTGGATAGATGCTTTAGGTTTTAAAATATATTTTTAAAATCTCATTATAGAGCTGATCAAAATGTATCCAGGGATTTGATCACTTTTCTTTAAACGTGGTAGGCATTAGCAGTACCACAGCCAAAAATTGCCAACGTACATGCCTCAATAATAATGTGCTGAATTGCAAATATGATGATTATCAAGATGAAAAAATGTAATTATGGACATGAATTTTTTTCCCATTTGGTTTTTTAGACCATGGCTGAATAATTCTGATACCTTAAAGGGTAAGAAAAGAAATGCTGTGTAGTTCAAACAAAATTGGCAGAATGGTTTTGAATACATATATAGGATACATATAATTTCTGTAGGTACTGAACCCTTGAATACAATAAAAAACATGGAACAAAAATCAAAAGAGCAGTTACTGGAGCATAATAGTAATGAACAAGAAGTATGGGAATGATGAAGTAGCAGTAATATTCCCTTCCCTAAAACCCTCTTGTTTTGTTTTTTTTAACCTCTTGCTTTTGGGTCTCTTTAATTTTGATGTATCTCTTGTAATATATTGCTGCATTTTTTGTCATTTGCATTTTCAATATGTAGCTGAGAATTAAAAGTATACAGAAGATGTTTGACTGTCTTAAAAAACCTGAACACATAAACTTGTAAAGCAAGGCTTGTGTTAAAGATAGGTTTTCCTTCAACTTCTCTATCTTACATATATACTGACAGAGATTTGGGGAAAAAAAAATAGAGTGAAGAGTAAGACAGTTTTCTTGTTTCTTATTTTTAATGGTACTTCTGCTCAAACAAAAAGAATGGCAATAGCAGGGCGTGGTTCAGATGCTAAGAAAGAATCCTTTGAGTTTTAAAATTCTAGAGAATAGCTGAAAATCAGTGTTTTTTACAGAAATACCTAACTTATTATTGCTTTGGATTACTGTATGTATCGGGGTCCCACTTTCCAGTGGTATTTGTTTGCCAACTTCTGCTACTTCTTACTTGGTCAGAAATTCAACTGATGCAAAACTTCATGTTCTTGCTGTTCATCAGGTG